TGGCTCCTGTGCCCCAACTCTAAGCTCTCTGATTTCAACAGTCCCGATGTCCATGAAACCTGCATAATTTGCAAAGGACGGAATTTCTGCGTTTACAGAATACTGCCCAAACCTTCACGTCATTCGGGCTTTAGGATGAAGCTATAAAACCAGCCACGGACTCCGAAGCCTTAAGCCATGAGAAATTAAGTATTTCTAGAAGTAACCTTTAAGGTATGTTATTTTTTGCCTTATTACTGAATCCTGGAAAGAGCCTGGTTACCTCTCAGAGGTTTGAATTCCCAATCTATTAGAGTAATACCAGCAATCTGTTATTTCGAGGCTATTGAGGAAAGGTTAGAATGGAAATTGGATTTGGGCGGTTATGTCCATTCTAAGCGCGGGCTGAGGACTCGGCAGTGGAAGCGGGCCCCGGCCTGGAAGGAGCAGTTATCAAGGGAAATGACTGCTGATAACTTTATTGATTAAAGCGGCTTGAGAAATTTAAGGTTGGCCACAGCCGGGCACTTGCACGGCAAGATCACCCCTCACCAGCATTTTTCATTAAAAATAAAGAGGCAGGATCAGAGAATTATTACCTTGTGCATAAGACACAGTTCATTTGAAATGGCCTTATTTTGAAATACTGCCTTAAAGGGTCTCCCCATCCTGAGGCTGGAGTAACATTAATGAACATTTAAGAAAAACGGTGGGGTGAGGGTGTTAACGGCACACACGGCAGTTGCCACTCAGCTGTCTGTCAAGGGGAGGGACAGCAATGACATTTGAGGGCGGAAGGGACAATGATAATATGAGAGGTAATTCAGCTTTGCCACATGGGCTCGGAGCCACCAGAGAAAACAATTCCTGCGCTACCCAGGGCCTCCGATGCTCGCGATTGTCTGGACAGCTGAAGGGACCTTGACCTCACTGCACACACAGATTCACCAGCACCTAAACACCAAGGCCCACGGCCCCAGCACCCACCACATAAGACGCCCAGATTAACCTGATGCTCATAGGAGCCTCCGCCGCTCTCTGGGGCTTGGGGAGGGTTCTTCCCGCCTCAGAAGGGAAAAGGTACCAGCTGGGAAAATAACTGAAAAATGCCAAAAAGCAACAAGGGGACGGGGGACTCATCCCAGGTCCAACTATCCAAATACATCCAATGATAATGTCGTGGCGTTCAGTGCCTCTGGCCTCACTTTCTAGACACGCGGGCAGCTTTTGTTTTGTTGTCTGTTTGGAGGAAGTTCTGAGGCAACCGTGGTCACACCGCTTGTATAATCCTAAATACTGGCTTTTAATCCATGCTACAGTAGCCTTTCTTCTGCCTGTAACAGATCGTCTTCAGAATTTAGTCTCTCTTAAATCTATCCAGTGAGTAGGATATAAATATATACATAGTTGTTTATATTTAAGAAATGGAAAGGTGGGGCACCTGGGGGGCTCAGTCGGTGAAGGGTTCAACTTCGGCTCAGGTCATGATCTCACGGTTCATGGGTTCAAGCCCCACGTCGGGCTCTATGCTGACAGCCAGCTCAGAGCCTGGAGACTGTTTCAAATTCTGTGTCCCTCTCCCTCTGACCCTCCCCTGCTCACGCTGTGTCTCTTGCTCTCTCAGAGATAAAAAAATAATTAAAATAATAAAATCAACCAACCAATTAATTAATTAAAAAGAATTATCAATGGATGCCAACATCAAGAGGGGAAAAGAATAACGGGAAAGGATGCTTATACAGTCAACATGTTTTCCCACAGGATGCTTCTTAGTTAATGGGACACGGAGCGACTTCACATTGGAGAACCCTGCCACACAGCACCTCTGACGCTGGTCAAAGTGAAGCTCGGCAATAACGGGGCAAAATGCCATCATGTGCCTCTGCCCGCGGGCTGCACCGATCGGTCAAAGTGAAGCTCGGCAATAACGGGGCAAAATGCCATCATGTGCCTCTGCCCGCGGGCTGCACCGATCGGGCACAGCCCTGTTTCTGTGAGATTCCTACCCGAAGTGCATAACCAAAAATTAAATTAAAGTATAAGGAAACATCAGGAAAAAGCCAAGTTGAGGGACATTCTATGAAAATAACCAGTCAGCAATCTTCAAAAATGCCTCTGTCCTTAGAGACCAGGAAGGCCCAGAAGGAAGGACACGGGGGAAGGGACTTCTAACCGGGACAGGTCCCACACAGACACTGGTAGGCTGCCCAATGACGGCGCCTGAGTGTGTAACTGTCCCGTGACTGTTACGTAAGATGTGGGCGTTCGGGGAAGCTGGCTTCAGGCAGATGGAAATTCTCTGCGCGAATTATGCAACTTTTCTAAGCGTGAAATTACCTCAAAATGAACAGTTACACCTAAGTTTTTAAAGTGACTATTAGTTGATAATTAGTGAGGCTCGGTGATGGGAACCTTTTGCTACTCTCTCTACCTGCACAGATCCTTGAAATGTTCCATGATAAAACTTGGTTTCCGCTCAGGTCATGATCTCACAGTTGTGCGGGTTCAAGCCCCATGTCAGGCTCCGCACTGAGATTCTCTCTCTCTGTCTGCCCCTCCCCTGCTCGTACTCTCTCAAAATAAATAAACTTAAAAAAAAAAAAAAGAAAAAATGTTAAAAAGAAGGGTTTCAGAGACAAAACAACCACATGCGAAGTATGGATCCTGTTTGGATTGGATTCAAACGTATCAACGTAAGAGAACATTTCTGAGACAGGCAGGAAGACTTAAATATGGATTACTGCAAAATACTAAGGAATCGGTGTTCATTTTTTTCCATTGTGATAAACACATAAAACGTACCAAGGTAACTGCTTGCAGTATACAGCTCAGTGGCATGAAGCATAGTCACAGCATCACACGACCGTCACCCCATCCAATTCCAGACATCTGTGTCACCCCAACAGGAGACGGTCCCCATCCGCGGCCCCTCTCCCCGCCTTCCCCGGCAATGACATTTTATGTCTCTACAGATTTACCTATTCGGGATATTTCACACAAACGCCACATAACATGTAAAATGTGGCCTTTTGTGACTAGCTTCCTTCACATACCGTGGTTTCCCGGTCCATCCACATTGTGGCATTTATCAGTATTTCATTCTTTTTATGGCTGGAATATTCCATTGTGTGAATAGACTGCATTCTGTTTATCTGTTCATGTGTTGATGAACATTTGCCTTGTTTCCGCCTTTCGGAGAGGCTGAATAGCACTGCTGTGAATATTCATGTAGAACTTTTTATGTGGACACCTGTTTCCAATCCTTTGGGATGCATACGTAGGAGTGAAATTGCTGGGTCGTAGGGTGCTTCTGTTTACCTTATCCAGAAGCTGTGTTCCAGAAGGGGCTGCCCCATCTCACATTCTGGCCGCATTTCCACACAAGGGTTCCGGTTTCTCCACATCCTCGCCAACGCTGGCCGCCGTCCCTCGTGTTTTGTTTTTAAAATGACTGCGGACGGCCGTCCAAGTGGGTGTGAGGTGGGATCTCACTGTAGTTTCGATCTGCGTTTCCCTGATTGATAGCACTGAGCATCTTTTTGTATATTTATTGGCTCTCGGGTGTTTGAACGTGCTGTAGTTATGTGAAAAATCAGCATCTTTTTTTTTGGAAAGGCAGTACTAAAATATGAAAGGATACAATGACAACAAATCTGGGCTTCAAAATATAACAGCAAAGCCAAACAAAACAAAACAAAGAAACCAAGCTGGAAAAAAAGGGGAAAAGATGCAAGAAGAGCACGCGGCAAAAATCTTTTGTTACATCTGAGTGACGGATGTACAGGGACCATCGCTGTATCAGTCTCTCAGAGGTTTTTGTGTATGTCTGAAATCTGCCCCAATAAAACAAGACATTCTGCTCTCTGAAACAAAGTCGTGAAAACCCAGGGTCACTCACTCCTCCTCTGTGGTCTTTGTTCATTCAAAACACAAGCCTCTCCTCCCTCACCAACCTCACAAGGCGTTTTCTGGGGTCTTCCGGGGAACCTCAGACACCCTGTGACATCTGGCATTTGCAGATGTCGGGGACACTGGTGGGAGGAGGTTCCAGACCTCTGCGACTCTGGGCCATCCTTCCCTACACGTCATGAGAGGCCTGTGCTCCAGGCCGGAACACATGTGGGGAATTCGGGTCCCCCGATAAGGAGCATCACAGTGATGCTGGGGCAGAGCCTCACCGCAGATGCAGATGCTGTGCCCAATGCCATGTCCACAATAGACACACGCCCGCTGTCTTTTCAGCAATGCTCTCGGAAAACCACGTGCAGTTGGGGACCAGCTCCACACTACCTGGGAAGCGGGAGCACTGAGGGCATCAAAGTCATCCAAGAAAATCATGCTTTTTTTCTTCTTAAGATGCATGTTTGGAAGGCCACCTGTCTCAAAAACAGTCATAATGTAAAGGTAGCAAGATGCACGGTTTACTTCTTATTGTTTTAATCTTGCTATACGTTGTCCTTTCAACGAACTATTTTTTTAAGTTTGTTTAATTTTGAGAGAGAGCACGTGCATGTGCAGGCGCGGGGGGCGGGGGCGACGCAGAAAGGGAGGAGGGGGAGAAAGAATCCCACACCGACAGCGCAGAGCCCTATTTGGGGCTCTTCGTGAGATCATGACCGGAGCCGAAATTGAGAGTCGGATGCTTAACCGACTGAGCCACCCAGGCGCCCCTCAACGAACTATTCTTAATACACTGACACGTTAATATATTATCAATTCTTATCCCTCCAGGGAAGATGCAAAAGTCACTCGGAAACAGACACAAGCATTTCTTTCCTACTCTTAACACTGCAACAAATTTAACAGGTTGACGGCATTCAGCGGGCCTCCTCTGCGGTCTCTCCCTGGTAAAATCAGCTCTCTCGTGGGTGGAAGGGTCCACACCCAGCTGTCCGGCCAAACTCCACAGGCTGCCCAATCCCTCAAACCCACCCCAGACCGCAGGGCTGCCACCCTCCAAGTGCCCGGGGCCTCCCCTAAGGGACCCACTTGCATACACACCCCGTGAGCGGCCCTCCTACCTCATGAGCCTCCACCCCCATCTCCCACAGGGCAGACTGGAAAAACTCGGGCGCAGGCTTGCCCACCACTTGGGCTTCGATTCCGCAGGCGTACTGGGAAGACAGAAATGGACACACGGCAGGGATTGAGGCTGGAGCAACAGATGGATACGGAGCCAAAGGCCTCCCTCCGAGGAATCAAGGCAAGAATGGCCCAAATGTGCACCCGTGGGCCGGGGTCTCCAGGAGGCAGGACCTGGGGACCGAGAGACGCATCTCATGGGCAAGAGCATCGTGACCCCACATCAGGATACACAGCAGAATGCTGCGGGGGTGCACCCCCACCAGGCCCCATCACCTGCTTGAAACTCTGAGCAGGGCAAGAGGCGGGCCCGTCAGGCCCACAGCTGCCAGGCTGGAGGGTGGGGAAGGAGCGTGAAGGATAGGACAGCAGACTGACGACTGACGGCCAGGCCAGCTGGGGGGCCAAGCTCCGGGGCAGAGGGGGCGCTCAGCTTGACGCCCCGCAGAGGAGGGCCTACTTTGGAAACCTAAGAGGCAGTTCAGACACAGAGGACACCCCCCTTCTCCAGAAAGACCAGAAACAGCCCAGAGATCTGAGGGAGGCTCGGACAGACTCAGGGCAGGTACCTCAAGCGCCTTCATGTAGGCACCAACGTCCAGCATCAGGCCAGAGGTCTGCTTGTAGTAACGTCTGCAAAAGAGCAGGGGGGGGGACAGGGTGAGCCAGGCCTGGGAACTGTTCCGAGAGAGAGAGAGAGAGAGAGAGAGAGAGAAAGAGAGAGAGAGAGAGAGAGACTGCCCTGTCCTGGTTCTGCCAGCCCGGGAGAGCAGAGCCACGGCTGAGGGTCCGTCCAGATGCCACACCAGGCGTGACCGAGGGAAATCGGCACAGCAGGGCCCAGGAGCTGGTCCCCGTGCCCGGCAGGAGGGCCAGCCGCTCTCAGTCCCAACGGCCCGTGCTGCCCACCTTCTGGGGACCCCGGGGGCAGATGGGTCCAGCCGCTAACACAGAGAAACACAAGTGACCCGTGCTCCGGGATAGGACAGCAGGTCCACAGGGCACGTGGCGAACCCCTAACTGCTAATCATTAACCCCCAATTGTTGCCTGAAGAAGAAAACTCCGTTAGTTCCACGGCACGTGCGCAGCTCCTCTTAGCCAGAGGTCGAGGTGCTCGGTTTCGGGACACCAGATGCTCTTACGAGAGGACAGCCATCTCCTCCCCATTTTGCCGGAGACCCACACGGCTCCCTCTCGGGAGCACCCCTTTCTGCAGATGATTTCGTGACTCTCGGGAGCGCTGAGCTGGCCCTGGCCTCCGCCGTCCGGCCCACCCCACGCTGTACGCAGGCCCCTCGGGACACATGGTGGCCCAAGCCCCTTCTCTCTGAGGAAAGCCATTGGACTATAAAGAGGGGCAAAGATAGTTTAATCTGTGCGCCTCTACACACAGGGTTCCTGGGAGCCCAGGACTGTTAAAGTGTGAGGCCCATGCCATCGGGGCCCGCCTCTCTTGCCCGCGCCCTTCGGATCTGGGAAACGTCAAACAACGCAGATGCGGAGACCCAAAGAGAAGTTCTAACGCGACGCCTCGCTTGCAGAAACTGACCAAGAGGAATCAGAGACTATTTCCACCCCATGTACCCGGCCTGAGCTACAGGCAGTAAGACGCGGGATGAACACCAGTCTTCCCGACGTGTGGGGGTAACAATCTGCTCTGTGCCTGTTGGTTAGAGCCGAGCTTCCGGGGTCCTGCCTCAGGTCTGTGTCCTTTGCTCCAGCCTGGCAGCGCCCGGAGCCCTGCCTGTCGGGCTCTGCCCCCCAGAGGCCTCGAGGGCTGCTGGAGCCTGACCGGCGGCGGCCCGCACTCGGCGTTCTCTGCTGCCCACGTCCTGCGGGCAGCTTCCGGCGAGGCACACGCTGTGCTGCACGGCGTTAGCCAAACCCTTGGCCTTGGCCGGGGCTGGTCCCCTGGCACTCACTCCTGTCACGTGGACCTGGAGCCTGGAGCCCGTGTGACGCAGCTGGGGTGGGGGTGGGGCTCCTGTCATGACAGGTCTCCGAGTGAGCCCCAGGTTTTTGTCAGGGGTCTGAGGCTCTGCGCTCTAGGGGCAACCCCGCAAAGACCAGTTGGGACACTGCTGATCTTCCGGAAGATGCCTGGGAGGCAGAGAGAACTACCTCCTGCTTACAGAGCTGGGGGGGCCTAAAAATGCTTCCCCTTTCATTTATTTTTAAGTTTATTTCTTTTTGAGAGAGAGAGAGACAGAGCACACGAGCAGGGGAGGGGCAGAGAGAGGAGGAGGGAGACAATCCCAGCAGGTTCTGCACTGTCAGCACAGAGCCCCATGCAGGGTTTGAACCCACAACTTGTGAGATCATGAGCCGAGGTCAAGGGCCAGATACTTAAGGACTGAGCCACCCAAAAAGTGCTCCCCCTTTTATTTTTTTTATTTTAAAGTATTTTTTTTTTAATTTTTAATGTTCATTTATTTTTGAGAGACAGAGAGAACAAAGTACGAGCAGGGGAGGAACTGAGAGAGGAGGGGACACACAATCTGAAGCAGGCTCCAGGCTCCGAGCTGTCAGCACAGAGCCCGACGCAGGGCTCGAACTCACAGACCGCAAGATCATGACCTGAGCTGAAGTCAGCACTGAACCAACTGAGCCACCCGGGCGCCCCATGCTCCCCCTTTTAAAGGGTGACCCCAAAACACAGGGTGAGAAGTCCCTAGCTGCAGGTGCCTTAAGTCCAGAATCGAGATGTGTATTCCGCACTGACAGGGCCTCACAAGCAGAAGTGTTTCCTTCTCTTTTCCCACTTCTACAATGAATTCCTCTCCCTCGCTAGGCCCCGAGGTTTAAGGAAGGGCGAAGTAAAGGCAAGTTCGGCCTGGAGGAAGGGAGGCGCTGGGTGCTGGGTGCTGCACTGATGGCACTGCAGCGGGTGTCGTGGATTCAGCTCCCGGACATCCAGGACATGGCAACAATCCAGGCCCAGGCTGTCCCCCGGGGACTCCCGATCTGGTGGGGAAGCAGACCCGTCCCCAGGCAAATACAAAAGGGCCGGACACGCGCAACGACAAGGGAGGCCCCTCGCTCTCTCTGTGCACTCTGCTCAAGGAGGGCTGGCCGTGCTGGGGACAGGGAGACAGAGAGAGTCCCAGGGAGGTACTAGAGCTGAGGCCTGAAGAAAGGGAGGGGAACGGCCCTGTGCAGCCCTGGGGACCTTCTCAGAACCAGCCAGCAGCACCCTGCTCAGGACCCCGTGGGTTGGACGCTGCTCTAGGCACAGGCCCCAGTCAGGTGCTCGCGGAGCCCGCCTCGTCCCCTGTGTGATGACCCGCTGGGCAGTGGGGGAGGAGGGGGACCAGGGAGGGCCTCCCTGAGGAAGGGACACATTCGAGTGGGCCGGGGACACAGGACAGAGGTGAGGAGAGAACGTGGGCAGCACTAGAGGGGGACGAGAAGCCAAAGGGCAAACAAAAAATGATGCCGCTCTGTTGCAAAGGGCACGCTCTGCCTGGAGCTGGGCTTCCGAGGGCTCCTGGCCAGTGTCCAGGGCTGCAGGGGGTGGGGGGGGGAGCTGGGTGCACCTGCCCCTGGGACATCTCCCGAGGACACATCTAACGTGTACAACTTCTGCCCGCCCCACGCTCCCCAACATCTCCCCAGTGTCTTTCTTCTCAAGGGACAGAACCCTGGACTTTCTTAAGGTTAAATCTAGTCCTGATGGCAGGAAATCCCGAGCAAGCAGCTTAAGACACACAATCAAGGGGCACCTGGTGGCTTAGTCGGTTAAGCGTCCGACTTTCGCTTAGGTCATGATCTCGCGGTTCGTGGGTTCGAGCCCCGCGTCGGGCTCTGTGCTGACTGCCAGCTCAGAGCCTGGAGCCTGTTTCAGAGTCTGTGACTCCCTCTCTCTCTGACCCTCCCCTGCTCACGCAGTCTCTCTCTCTCTCTCTCTCCTAGAAATAAATAAAACATTAAAAAAAATTAAAAAAAAAAAAAAGACACCCAATCAAAACCTCGCCTCCATCGGGGCACCCAGGGGTGGGGGACTCTGTATGAAAACCTCACCTCCGTTGGGGCGCCTGGGCAGGAGGGCTCTGTTGAGTGTCCAACTCTTGACTTTGACTCAAGTCATGATCCCAGGGTTGTGGGACTGAGCCCCACCTTGGGCTCCTCACCGAGTGTGGGATTCTCTCTCTCTCTCTCTCCCTCCCTCTGCCCCTCTCCCCTACTTGCTTTCTTTCTAAAAGAAAAAAAGAAAAAAACAAACTTGCCTTTGTTTACACTGATTTTTAGAGCCTAAAGTAAAAGCCGACTTAAACCAAAATTACAAACCTTAACGTTTCTTTTTTTTTTTTTTTTTAAATTTATTTTGAGAGAGAGAGCATGTAAGCATGGGACAGGCAGAGAGAGAGGGAGAGAGAGAATCCCTAGCAGGCTCTGCACTGTCAGCAAGGAAGCCAGTGAGGGCTTGAACTCACAAACTGTGAGATCATGACCTGAGCTGAAGTCAAGAGTTGGACACGCAACTGACTGAGCCACCCAGGCGCCCCCTTAAGACTTTTTTTTAACTGAATCTGAGTTTATTTTTATAGTGTCCAGAAATTTTCTCTATTTCTCATTCATTCGAGAAAACAAAGAGCCACCCTGAAGCCATCTGTTAGCTGAAAACATTTTTAGAGACACAGTAAAGAGAAGTACATGTTAATTTTTTTTTAAATATAAAGGCCCAGATTATTCCAGAAACATAAGAGATTTCATATAGTATCTTTCGTTACTGCCATAAGGAGAGCAACAGCAAGCCTGGCTGGAGCACTCAGTTCCAGAATGCTCTGGAACATTCGGTTCCAGCCACAAAGCAGAAACTGGGGATGCTGGGAAAGACAGGAAAAAGCTGGGGAGAAGCAGTCAGATAGATTTTATGCTTTATTCTTCTGCCCTTCCGATTATTCAGCACAGCCTCCTTTCAAAATGACCACTTGACCTTTCCCACAAGAGCCATTAACCTTCCATAGTCTGTCGCGTAAACAGCTTAATTTTCTGACGGCAGCATGACAGAAGAAATTACAAAGGCAATTCCCACTCCCGGTCCAAACAGATGCCAAATGTAAATCACTCCATTTCCAGGAGGAGGACATTCTGCCCCAGTGCGTCCGCTGTCCTGCCTCCTCGGGGACACCGCTCGGCCCTGCTCTGGTGGAGGGCAGCCCCTCGCCATCCACGACCCTCACTTGGACAGGACACCTGTTCTTCACAGGTCCTTGGGCTGCCCCGGAAGCTGCCGACCGAAGTCCGAAAGCTGTCAGTTCCCTTCTCTTGTTTTTTGAGCATCCAACCCAGAGCCCAAGTCCAAACACCGCCAAGTCAGAGGCACCCTCATCCCCTCATCGCTTATTTGTAAAACAAACCCTCGCCTACTCTTATATGACAAAGAGCTTGAATGACAAAGCTAAAAAGTGGCTGATTCCATTTTGTTTTCCCGTTCAACGACTTACCTACTTTGCTACCTAAAATCTGGAATAAAATCCTTCAAAAATTAGAGACAATTGTAAAGAAAGAAGTTTTAATACAAATGAGTTGTAACAGAGCTGCTCAATTATGCTGTTCTCTAGGGAGGGGGCGGTGATTTTAGGGATGCCGGAAGGACCAAGCCCGGAGCCTAAGTGAATAAAGCAAGCCAATTTCTACGGTTTGCGGTACCCTACGCCGCCGTGGAAGCTTGTGAAGAAAGGGACCAGGACAGTGAATTTTAGGTTGTCAACCTGACCAGGCCAAGGTTCCAGGTATTTGGTCAAACATTATTCCGGGTGTTTCCATAAAGGTCTTTTTGAGGTGAGATTAATACTTAAATTAGCAGACTGTGAGTGAACAGATTGCTCTCCATTGTGTGGTGGGCCTCACCCAATCAGTTGAAGGCCTGACCAGCCAGGTCTGACCTCCCTGAACAAGAAGGACCCTGCTGGCAAGCAGCCTTTGGGCTGAGGCCACAACTCCTCACTGGGTCTGCAGGCTGCCAGTCTGCTCTGCAGAATTTGGACTCACCTAGCCTCAATAACCAATTTCTCTTCATACGTATACATACATATACATGTGTATGTGTGTGTGTGTGTGTGTGTGTGTGTGTGTGTGTGTGGTTGTGTGTATCCACATCCACTTTGTTCCATTTCTGTGAAGCATCCTAATGCAGGACACATTTTACTTGAATGATACACACACTTGAATACTTTTAGTTCCTAAAAGAAATCCGTCCTCTCTTTTCTTTCCTGAAATCTTGTTTGCCTTATTAACAGAGACACAGCCACGAAGAAACACTTCTCTATGATGAGAAAAACAACGAGCAGTGGCAACCGCCTCTGAGCTTGGTGAAGGGGACGCCAGGGAGGGGTGGGGTCTGCAGTCAACTGGAGTTGATGGAGGCAGTGAGCTCTGGGTGCTCAGCAACACGGGGCCCTCCCTGTGCTATCAGATCTTCTGATTTTTTTTTTAATTTTGTAAAGTTTATTTATGAATTTTGAAAGAGCACGAGCAGGAAAGGGCCAGAGAGAGAGGGAGAGAGACAGAATCCCAAAGCAGGCTCCGTGCTGTCAGCGCAGACAGACCCCCACGCGGGGCTCAAGCTCACAAAACTGTGAGATCAAGATCATGACCTGAGCCGAGATCAAAACTCTCCCCATTTGTAAACACAGGTCCCCCCAGAATTTAAGATCTTGTGTGGGCCAAACGTTTGCTCTCAAATATGGCCTGGAGGTGACAAACACAGGGTCCGGGTAGCACCCCCAGCATTTATCTGCTGGGGATCCGGGCGTGCTTCACTTCACCTCCTTATGCCTCAGTGGGCCCACCTGTGGAATGACGATGCCGAGGCCTATGGCTCTCAGGGTCATGGTTGGAATTAAACAAAACGGAGCACACAAAGTACTTAGCAATGGCTGGTGGCCAGACAAAAGGTCCCTCCCGTGACTACTGAATAGTCTGTCCTGTCCGGCAGGCAGACACTGGGAGTTCCCAATGAGCAGAAGCATCTAAGCTGGGAAAGTCTTCCCCAGAGGCGCCCCGAATTCCTGCAGTGTGTCAAACGCTGGGGCGGAGCTCTGTAGGGCCCCTGCACCTTTAAGAGCCCCTGATTCCAAAACCCTGGCACAGCTTCCAGTGATGACAGAGTAAGTCTGCACAGCTTTCTAGAAAGCAACTTGGAGCCTCAACATACACATATCATCCTAAATGCACAAAGATGTTGATTAGAGCGTTACCTTTGGTGGAAAATCAGAAGTAACTTAATGTCCATCAGAAGGAATTGGCTTAAAGTAACTATAGGATAGGAGCACCTGGGTGGCTCAGTTAGTTGGGTGCCCTACTTCAGCTCAGGTCATGATCTCACAGTTCATGGGTTCGAGCCCTGCGTTGGGCTCTGTGCTGACAGCTCAGAGCCTGGAGCTGCTTCGGATTCGGTGTCCCCCTCTCTCTCTGACCCTCCCCTGTTCATGCTGTCTCTCTCTCTCTCTCTCTCAGAAATAAATTAAAAACATTTTTTAAAAAGGTTTTAATAAATAAATAAAAAGGAAAGAAGGAAAGAAACAGTGAGGACTGTGCTAAAGGCTCCGACAAAAATGTCGGTAACAAGGTCACAACTTTACAGAGACGGAGCTCCGGCCCAGAGCTTCCCTACGCACCCTCAAGCCTTTCTCCACCGCTCACCTGTCCGCTTGAGCCAATCGCCCCATGCCTTGGGCTGTGTCCCGTGCAAACGCACCTTACCTCGGGACAGTCGGCACTGGCGCCCTGAGACTCCCGTGGACCCTCCATCTGCCGTGACCCTCCCCTGCCCCAGCCTCTCCCAGCCCAGGGCCCGCACGGAAGCCTGACCAAGCTGCTCCTGAAGTCAGAGGATTCTACTTTCTTCATAAATCATTACAAGAAAGGAAGGAAGAATAAAAGCTAAAACAGCAAAGGCAGGGAGGGCAAAGGAAGGCGGCCTATGCCCAGCCCACACCCACTTTTCTGCTCCATTTACAGACTCTGCAAGGCAGAGAGACCCAGAGCGCGTCAGCAGAAGCAGCTGGACACCCTCTTCCTGAGGCCGACTTACCCTTTTCCCAGAGATATGAGCACGGGGTTTTCCAGCTCCATGAGCACCTGGAAGGCTTTATTCACGTTGCGGTAGGAAAAGCTTTCTCCTGCATCTGCAATTACCACACAGTTCGGGTTGGACGTGTCAATGTGGTCAAATTCTGAGCGGATTCCTGAAAAGAGAAAAAACGATAAAGGCCCGGGGTGGACACGGCCTAACTCCTTCTCCCACCAGGGACCCCCTCTGCCTGCCACGTGGGCCCGGGCCCTCTCTCAGATGCTCCTCCTCACCCTAACAGCCCTAGGGGAGGCGAGCAAGGAAGGGGTGTCACTCCCATTTTACAGATGAAGGAATTCTCCACGGTTAGGGAGAAAGATGGGCCCGTCCTTGGGGTCCCCTCCCCAGCCCTGGCATCACCCCGGGGACTACCCAGTTCAATACCACAGGTAGGAGGCCCGCAGCCCCGCAACTGAGAAGGGACATTCGCCTGGAGGAAAGATCCCTGGATGTAGGGACAAATGAGGCTGTGGGTAACACTTAGGGGGCTGCAGTGGACCAGACTGCAGAGCCACCGAGCATTCCAGCCCAACGCCACCGAGGACAGCAGAGCCGGGACATCCACACATGCTGAAAAGAAGGAGAAGCTCACCCCTGCTGGCCCGGCTCCCCAGTCCCCTTAGGAAGGCCTCACCCCTGCTGGCCCGGCTCCCCAGTCCCCTTAGGAAAGCCTCTTCCTCCTTCGCCTTCTCTGCCTTCCCCAATTTTCCATTAAACAGGGAAAGTTGCAGGGCACCCAGGTGGCTCAGTTGGTAAACTGTCCACCTCTTGATTTCGGTTAGGTCACGATTCCAGGGTTGTGAGATTGAGCCCCATGTCAGGCTCTGTGCAGAGCATGGAGCCTGCTTAGGAGTCTCTTATTCTCTCTTTCTTTCTCTCTCTCTCTGCCACTCCCCTGCTTCCACACTCAGTCTCTCTCTCTCTCTCTCAAAAGAAATGAATAAACTTTAAAAACATAATAAAACAAAGGAGCACCTGGGTGGCTCAGTCAGTTGAGCATCCGATTTTGGCACAGGGCATGGTCTCATGGTTCATGGGTTTGAGCCCTGCGTCAGGCTCTGTGCTGACAGCTCAGAGCCTAGAGCTGCTTTGGATTCTCTGTCTCCCTCTCTCTCTCTCTGTCCCTCCCCCACTCACACTCTGCCTCTCTCTGTTAATCGAAAATAAATGAAACGTTAAAAAAATACTTTTTAATAAAAACAAACCAACAAAAAACAAAACCCACTAGGCCTGGGCTGCTTGGATCCTGCAAATTCCAAAGCAAGGCTGTCCTCAAGATGGGCCCTCGGGCCCTCCGCCAGCACCTGGGAGATCATCTCGGAGCCCTTGTAATATTCCAGCAGAAAAGAGTGTTTTGTCAGCCTGGGGCCCTGGGGGGCTGGAGACTGAGTAGCCAAGGTCAGCCACCCAGGTGCTGCAGGCCCAACTGAGGGACCCTTAATAGAAACTCTGGGCACAGGGCTCCCATGAGCTTCTCTGGGTGACAGCAAGTCACAGTGCTGTCACACATGTCTGCTGAGAGAATGAGGTGCATCTCAGGTCAACTCCATGGGCGGCGACCACTGCAAGGTCGCCTTGATTCTCCCAGGGTTCACGCACACTCCTCTTCCCCTTGCTGAGTTCACGCTGTGTTCTTTCACTGTGGAAAACTGTAACTGTGAGTCTGACAGCTTTTCTGAGCCCTGAGTCCTTCTAGCAAATCATCCAGCCCGAGTGTGGCCTGGAAAACCCCTGACACATAGATGCTGTGTGATTCTATTTACATAAAACTCTAGACAGGGCAAACCAACTCAGAATGAATAAAAAATCAGAACCATAGATGACTCAGTAGCGGGAGGGGCCGGGCACTGACTGGGCAGTGCATGAGGGACCTTGCGGGATGATGGTAAAGTTCTAGATCCTGATCATGACAGGATTACACACATGGAGGCAATCTGTTCAAACTCAGAAGTGCCCCTGAGGTGTCTGCATTCCATCGTGTGTAAATTTCACATCAAAAGGAAGAAAGGTAAACAGATGCTGAACTCCAGTTTGTGACATGCCGAAGAGTTTTGGGGATGTGTACCAATGTCTGCCGTTTACCTTGAAATACATTGGAAAAATTAAAAGAAAAGATGGACAGAGGAACAGGTGGACACGTAATGAAGAAAACAGAATAAAAACGTCACTGGTAAAGTCAAGGTGACGAGCATACAAATATTCCAAGTGAAATTCCTTCGGCTTCGTTGTAGGTTTCAAAATTTCATAATAAAATGCTGGCGGGGTAGGGGGGCGAGGGAGGTGGGAGGAATTCATCAACCATAAAACTTGGAAAAAGACTTGAAGTCTGAAAACACAGGCATATTTATGGAGAACAGAGGCAGGACTGCCTCCCCAGAGGGGAATCGGGCTGCCCCTCCAGCCTGTGCAAGCTCTGATACCTGCTTGGTTTTGAGCCCTTAAGAGGCAAATGCTGCATCTCCCCCCTCCCTCCCTGCTCATTCCACCCCCAACCCTCCCCCCAAGGGCAGGGATTTTCTTCCTTAAATTGTTCTGTTTCTTTGAGGACCTGTTCTAAAGGCGCTGGCAGTGATCCCAGATCACAGAGGAAGGATTCTGAGAAACGGGATTTCTAAAGCCTGGCACATGGCCCTCGACAGGCACCAGAGCTATAGATCTGACACTCGGGCCTTTCAGATCTGACACTCGGGCCTTTTGGGGAGCACCTCAACCTCTGGGGGCCCCGCTCCTGCTGGGAGGCAGAAAAGTACGCTTCGGCCTGTGGTTTATAAATAAAAATACCAAGCGCAGGGAAGAAAGGGCTCAGTGCATCGACAGGAGCGCCCTGAATTCCGAAGCACTGCTTATGTTTCTTCTTTTTAAACATTCAGAAGGTACCAGATACTACTGCTCCTTCTACTTCTTTCCAGAAAAACTCAGCACTGAGGGTCAAAGGGGCCTTTTCCTTGTATTTAGACTAAGATGGGGATGTAAACCTTGTGCCATTTGCCAGAGACAGGGCTGTTTCTCACAAATAGAGCTGAAGCTTGGGGGTGGGGTGGGGTGGGGGAGGGGAGGCAGGGAGGGCATAGGGGGGTGGCAGACAGAAACCTGGGGCTTCAGTCCAGCCCTCCTTCTCCCCACCCCCACAAGCCCTAGAAGCTAGAATGTTGCCCCTGTGACAATTCCCTACCCTCTTGGTCCCTTCTAGATGAACGAGAGCAGACTTGGGATTTCCCTCTGCGGAGCCATGTGGGACCTGGGACGTGTCCCTAATAATGGTCAGGCATTAGGCGGGGACAGAAGGGGCCTGGTCCCCAGCAGGAAGCCCTGAGCGCCAGCGGCAGGAGCCACATTTCTGTGCATCCTTCCCAGGATGCCACCCCAGGTGACAGGGCCACCCCCCCAACACCACCACCCCCCCACCCCCCACCAGGCTCAGGCCCAGCAGGCCTACCATCATGGATGAGCAGGTGAGGCCGCAGACCTCGCTCCTTCAGGACCAGGCAGGTGGCTGGGGCCGGGGCCGTCACCTCGCCCTCAGAGATGTCGAAGCCCTTGCGTCGCAGGAGCACCACCAGGTCCTTCCGTGACACCTGTGACTCATTGGTGCAGAACCTCACCTTCAGCTGGGACCGCTTCAGTCTGGAAGTGGGCACAGGAGGGGCAGAGGGCGCTGTCAGCACTCGGAGCCTGTGGCCTCTGAAGAGGGAGCTAGCTGGGCACTTCGCAAGGGCAGTCAGGACCCTCCGCGCAGGCCGGGTCACCGCAGCTCCCAGAGACGGGCCTCGGCTGACCTGAGGTCAGGATGGGAACGCCGAGCTAAGGCTGACCCTTTCCAGGGAGCCCCGATGGGCCCCACAATCCTCCCTTCCATCCTCACGGAGCTTGGTGCCCGGGACATGTCCCCTCTCCTTCTGCCTGAGCCACATTACCTCTCTACATGTGTCAATTCGCCCACCTTCTGAGACCCCCTGGAGACCCCCTCCCCCAGAGCGTCCCACTCAGCCCAGCTAGAGGTCACCTATGAGCATCCACCGCCATTTCTCTGCACCTTCCACCGCGGCTGGCAAGCCCACTTGTCGCGGGAGCTGCGTGTGCCTGATTAACTCGGGGTCCGTATTTGCCCTAACGTGCAAAGGGTGGGGGACCAAGCTCAGGTGTGTCTTCTCATTGCTGTCACTGAAAAAAGCTTTGTGGGGAGACAGTCATATCAGGGACACAGGTGATCCTGGGACAGACAGGCAGGAGACAGGGATCCCCTGCAAGCCTAGCATTAACCCAACGTGACCCTGAGACGCGGTGGAAGGTCAGCAGCATCCACATCCCTTCTCTCCTGAGCTCACAGGACACCTGCTACATCTCGGCTGCACTCAGCTCTCAGAACGCAAAGCCACGAAGCAGATGCGTGAAGAGGTCCCAAACGCAGTAACACTGCAACCTCCCACAAGGTTGTTGAGCGCCTACTAAGTGCCTGGCCGGGCCGGTGCACAGGACTGGAACCTTGACCACAGACAGGCTCCCCACTCTCCTGGAGCCACGGTCCGGTGGGTGGGAGGGTAACCTCACAAAGGAAGGGGGATTTGTGATTTGCGAACAGAGAGGCGCCCTGAAGGATGGGACAGGATGAAGAGACCAGGCGAGGAGACTGCTCAGCAGCTGAGGCCTGAAGGGAAAACAGGGCGAGGAGGCAAAGGAACGGCGCCTGGCTCAGGGAAGGGAAGGAGGCTGGGGTGGCCGTCCACGAGCCAGGGCCCCTGCCCAGAACACACAGCCCTCTCGGGGACGAGCCGCGGCCGGGACAAAGGAGCTGTCCTACTGGGCACCGTGGGGTCATGGAGACACCAGCCCACAAGTCGGGGGGCCCGGGGAGCCCCTAGTAAAATAACTGGGTACACGAATCGTCACCCAGCACTGCTCCTAAACAGATCTGAGGACACACACACGTCAGTGGTCTCCAAACATGGAGGAATTCAGCCACCCTTTCAAGGTTTACATTGTTTGTAACATAAATAATACACCCAATCCGGTGTTAAGGACATAACTTAGCATTTGTTATTTATACATATACGTGCTTATTTATTCGTGTACGAGACGGGCTCTAATCGTGCAGAGGCAGCACACAGGCTGGCCGCCGCTACTCAGAACGACAGACTTCAAATCAGCCTCCGTTTGGGCAAATAAGTGAGACCCAACCAAAAATGCTGCTCCGCCCCAAGCCGAGCAGGGACACTTTTTATCCTGCTTGATGAATGAGGACATTTGAGTCTCAGAAAGTTCAAGTACTTTCTGCTCCTCTTCCTGGACCTGAGACTCTAGGGACCTGGGCTAATTCCTACTTAAGCCCAATACGGATCCTGGAACCGACGTGCGTGGAGTTAGGAACAGGAAGCACACCCACGGGGGCTACCTGACAAAGCCAAGGGGGGCCCAGAGGACAGAAAGGTGTCATCCCAGGATGGGGTCTCTGAGAAGGCTTCCTAGAAGAGCCAGGTCCAACCAGAATCTCTTGCAGGACAGACAAGCTGGGTGGAGCCCAGGGAGGGAGGAGCAGGGGCAGGGCAGGCGCTGCCCTCCTGGGACTCGGTCAGCTGTCAGAATCTTCTAGCAGCCTTGGGTATATGGAGGCTGAGCCAGAAAATGAAGCTGGAGAGGAGGCTCACTGAGCAGGCAGGGATGCCTCAGGCGATCTACTCCACCCTGGGTGGGGGGGGGGGGGCGATGACAGAGCTGGGGGAAAGGTGGTGTGTCTGTCCAACGCCCCCTTCTCCACCCCGCCCTCAGACTCCCTATGTGCATTTTTCTTTCTTTTTTTTTTTTTTAATTTTTTAAATGTTTCATTTATTTCTGAGAGAGAGAGAGGCAGCGTTAGCAGTGGAGGGTCAGAGAGAGGGAGACACAGAATCTGAAGCAGGCTCCAGGCTCTGAGCTGGCTGTCAGCACAGAGCCCGATGCGGGGCTCGAACCCACAAACCGTGAGATCATGACCTGAGCTGAAGTCGGACACTTAACCGACTGAGCCCCCCAGGCGCCCCTATATTTTTCTTTCTTTATAGCACTAGCCAGTATCTCCAATCATCCGATCTCTATCTTTGTTTACTGTCTCTCTCTCTCTCAGACCTGTGCGTTCCACGAGACCAGCAATGACATCCGGTCTGTTCTCGGCATCCCCAGTGGGTCACACAGGGCTGGGCACACGGCAGGCTCACCATAAACATTTGCTGAGTGACTGAGTGATGGCAAATTCCAACGTCGGCCGTTGAGAGGGACCCTTCTTCATACACTTACTGCTTCCCCCAAGGGTGTCCCGAGCCTGCAGGTCCGTCACAAGCCCCGTTGGGAACAGGCAGGATTCAGCGGCGGGAACACGTTTTCCCACAGTTAAGATGAGCTTCCCAACCCTCCCGGCACTGGGGCTGACAGGCGCCACTTGCCAAGAAACCCGCAGATCTACCGACGACAGTGAATCTGCACTGAGAGGCCGTGGGTGTCTCAATCAACAGCCCAGGTGGTTTAGTCCTTTCTTAATATTTGTCTTTCCTAATCAGAGGGTTATGAACGATCAATTACGCTTAGTGGTTAATTGCCCTTCATAAAGACAGCTTTTGTATTTTTAAATTAGGCAGTTAATATATTGTAACTAATAGCATCACCTTGTGCATTACGGACAGATCTTCGTTGATTGGCGCCTGGAATGTGTGATTCGCACCCCAAGTTAATGGAGCAGTTGAGTGAAGAAGTGCAGGGGTGTCGGGGGACTAATTACCGCTAATGAATGATGATGTGACCTTCTCAGAACAGTGAACAATCGGCATGACAGTGAGATGACTGAGCCTCACATCTGCCATTCAGAGCGCAACTTCAGATGCCGATAACAAACGAGCAAATAACAGAACTCACTTCGGGACACTTCGACCATGGCAACCGGTCCCCTTTGAAATACCAACTGAAGCTCATAAAGCGTGCGCGTTAGGGGCACCTGGGGGGCTCCGTCGGGAAGCGCCTGACTCTTGGTGTCGGCGCAGGCTGTGATCTCGAGGTTTGCGGGTTCGAGCCCCACATCGGGCTCTGCATTCACGGTGAGAGGTGCCTGCTTGGGATTCTCTCTCTCCACCCCTCCCCTGCACATGCTCTCTCAAAAGAAATGAACTTAAAAATATATATACATGCTTTAAAAATCAAAGTAGTAGCCTTAGGATTAAAGCAGTCCCTGAAAAATCTACTGCAAAATGTTTGGGAAATCCTTCCCTGGGGGTCTGTTCATCCCCCTTTCTGACCATTTGAGAAGAGTCCCAGATCCTCTCTCCATTTCTTGCAATCACTGCAGATAATAGAAATGTGTGTCCTTATAATAGTAACGCATGAATACAAATTACAGTGAGTCCTGCCTCGGGGCTCAGTACCTGTGATCTGATTTTGTCCAAAGCCACGCAGTGGGTACCCCTACACGCGTCCCCTGGGCCAGGTACGAGCTGCCTGCGTAATGAGCCCAGAGACCAAAACGGTCATCCCCATTCTAGAGACAGAAAAACGGAGGCTCTGAGAGGCACAGACCTATGAAGTCACTCAGTCTGTAAGTTGCAGAACCACAAGCCATCAACCGACCACACGGTGGCAGCTACGCGGCGGCGGCGTGTACAGGCCTCTGCCTTTCCAATAAGGGAAGTGCTGTGCCCAGGCGGGACCCAGCAGCCCAGCTGTGTGCGTGGGGCACGGGGGACAGACATCGTGACACGGATCGGTACTTTAGGAAAGGCCTGAACGGCCAACACTGGGCTGAACTGCATCCCCCACCCTGCAAATTCCTATGCTGAAGCCCTCAGGGCGTAATGGGGCCATAGGGTGGTGCTGTGACAGAACAGGATCCTGTGTCCTTAGCAGACATACCAGAGCCCTCTCTCTCTGCGCCACCATGAAGCCAGGACGAGAAGTCCCAGCAGAAACCGATGCCACGGGCGCCAGGTCCTGGACTTCCCAACATACGTCTGTCGTTAAGCCCCCAGGTCTGAGGTTTTTCATTGTGTCCGTCCCAACAGACTAAGCCCATGAACCAAACCCTCAGCATCCCTGGGGGGAGGGGGTCTGCTGCCAGATGTCACAGGTTTGGCCTTACCAGGCCTGGAACACAAGAGCTCCGAATGTGGGGGGAGCCCAGGGGAAGGGGTGGCTCCAGGCCTTCAGCTCAGGAAAGCAAAGTCACAGGGTTTCAGTCGCAGGCTGGGCCCACCTCCAGGACTGAGTCATCCCCGGCCCCCGACACCCAGGAACCCCTGGCTCCCAGAGAGGGGCTACGGCCAGACCACCCTTCTGAACCCACGGCCACCACCTCGGCCTGCGGCCTCCCCTCCCTGGGAGTCCCAAGGCAGTGGGACCTGCCCCGACTTCCAGCGGCCACACCAGATCTTTGAACTGACCTTCACCTCATCCCAGAGGCGGGCCAGGACAAGCCTCTGAGTGACAACGTCGCCTGGTGCAATTACTGTGCATCACAGGACACAGGAACGGGTCCCTTGCAAATCACCTCGGCCCTCACACATCTGCTGGTTGTCGGCATCTGCCAGGGGCGCTCACCCGAAAATAATGGAAACCCTCTCATTATCGTTCGGTAGCAGGTAGAGCGCTGGGGCGATTACTGGCCATCCTGA